CCCCTATCAGTGGACTTGGGGAGTGGCATGCATGCAGAAAGGGGAGGGAGGGTGGGATCAGGAGGGGAGGAGGGAGGGGCTTATGGGGGGATACAAAATGAACAAAGTGTAATTAATAAAAAATGCATTATTCTCCAACCACATTGATACACATAATTTTTATTTTAAATGAATAACTCAAAGTGGCACAAAGCTATAAAAATAACAGTAAGGACAGCTAATATGAACTGTGCTCAGTATTTAAATAGGTGATTTATAGGTTATTTTATAGTTATTAAAATTAAACTCTATAATGACCTCAGAGGAAGGACGCAGTCTGAAAGAAAAAGTGATAAAAATCATTTGTTCCATTCACATTGTCAGTAAGTAATGATGTTTACATAATACTTCCCGCTGAGACATGGGTGTGTGAGTTGGGTGTATGAGTTCCCAATTTGGTAAAACATTTCTATGAATGATCTCACACCCAGAGGTTTGTCTCTTACTTGAGTCTAAGTCTCATCAAATTGGCTATAATATTGACCATCATAGTCTCCAACAGCTCAAAATTATTCTGGAGAAAAGAACAATGCTGGTGACATCACAGTACTTGATTTCAAGCCATACTACAGAGCCCTAGTACCAAAAATTATATGACACAAAACAACACTGGAGTACAAAGAATAGAAGAGGCGACCATGAAATAAGACCTCACGTTTACAAAATGTCAAAAATATTCACTGAGAAAAAATAGCCTCTCCAGCAAGTAGTGCTGGTTAAAATTCATAGAAGAGTATAATTACATTCCTGCTTCTCACCATGTACAACAATTATTTCATAGTAACTAAAATAAACATACTATGATATTTTTACACACTGCAAAACAACTTTAAAGTGGTATTAGATTTTAGAATCATTTTTTCTCACCTGTAGAAAGGTCTGCCTGGTAATCCTAAAGGATCAATGAATGCACGTTCAAGATACATCAGCTGGTCATTCATAATTCTCAGTAATATGGGGCTAAAAAGGAAAGTATTAAAGTCACACCTTCAGGGAGATATGAACACTGTCTGGCAAACTAAAAGTCCGTAACAAAATATACATCACTGATGCATTTTAAAATATTGTACCATGCAAATGAAGAATATCAGTAACATTATAGAAACTGAACATCAAACTCAATGGAGAGAAACTGAAATCAATCCCACTGAAATCAGGGACAAGAGAAGGCTGCCCACTCTCTCCAAACCTCTTCAACATAGTACTTGAAGTCCTAGCCAGAGCCATAAGACAACTAAAGGAGATCAAGGGGATATAAATCGGAAAGGAAGAGGTCAAAGTGTCACTATTCGCAGATGATATGATAGTATATATGAGCGACCCCAAAAATTCAACCAGAGAACTCCTTCAGCTGATAAACACCTTCAGCAAAGTGGCAGGATACAAAATCAACTCAAAGAAATCAGAAGCCCTCCTCTATACCAAAGGCAAAAGGGCCGAGAAAGAAATTAGGGAAACAACACCCTTCACAATAGCCATAAGTATCTTGGGGTGACACTAACCAAGCAAGTGAAAGACCTGTTTGAGAAAAACTTCAAGTCTCTGAAGAAAGAAATTGAAGAAGATCTCAGAAGATGAAAAGATCTCCTGTGCTCATGGATTGGTAGGATTAACATTGTGAAAATGGCCATTCTGCTAAAAGCAATCTACAGATTCAATGCAATTCCCATCAAAATACCAACTCAATTTTTTACAGACCTTGAAAAAAAGATTCTCAGTTTCTACAGATTGAAAAATAATATTCACCAACCCTTTATCTGACAGAGGGCTAATATCAAGTATATACAAAGAACTAAAGAAGCCGAAAAGCAGCAAACCAAGTAATCCAATGAAAAAATGGGGAACAGAGCTAAACAGAGAATTCTCAACAGAGGAATATCGAATGGCAGAGAAACACTTAAAGAAATGCTCATCCTCATTAGCCATCAGGGAAATGCAAATCAAAACGACCCTGAGATATCACCTTACACCCATCAGAATTGCCAAGATGAAAAACTTAAGGGACAACACATGCTGGAGAGGTTGTGGAGAAAGGGGAACCCTCCTCCACTGCTGGTGGGAATGTAAACTGGTACAAACACTCTGGAAATCTATCTGGTGTTATTTTAATTATAAATACATATATTATTATATTACGTTACATTTTGGACATACTTGCTTTTGTCAAAGTCTTGAAGTCTCTGATTGAACTTGGATGCAATCTCTGTAAAATTATTTACTGCAGAAAACAGTGAATCTGAAACGGAAATTCAAACTGTCAAACACTTTAAGACCATAACTTTTAAAGGAGGTAGAGCTATGCCTGGAGTCTCAGCACTAGGAAGCTGAAGTTAGGGGATCACTACAGCACAGACGTTTAATACCAGCTGCTGCAAGATATCCACATGCATTTTGGTAAAAGAAACAATGCTCTATGGTTTCCAATAGTGTCTGTACACCTAAAGATGCGAAAACAATATAGAGAACTATTTGCTTTTATGAGGTATTTATATTTTTGAGCATCTGTGTAATTAAAAACATCTTACTAGAAAAAGAATATATAATCCAGTATAACAGAAATAACAATGAGAAATCATTAAAAACACAAAAATGAATTTGAAAGATAAGTTGTAACATACCAAATGATACCATATACTCCTTCATCTCTTGTGGATGTTTCATTGAAATGTTGTAGATGTTTTCCGCATGCTTTTTCAGAGCTAGAGCATAACCTTGACAGTCAAAAGGAAGCACTATAGAGTTGGCCAATTCAAATACCATCCCTCCTCGAACCTGGGCCACAGTGAGGTGATATTTAAATGTTGGATCATAAAATTTTTCTACCAACTCATATGTTTCATAGATGCTGTGGTAGAGTGGATAGCTGCTGACTTTGTTGGTTTTCTAGAAAACAAAATGTATCTCTTTAAGATAGCTCATAACAAGAAACATAGTATCGTGTTTACTGTGCTATTGTAAAGGTGGTTTGATCACTAGCAGAGAAAGACCATGTAAACTTAGAAACATAGGACTTAGTAATAAACTACTCTGGACATGTGCAGATGAAAACACATGGTGCAAAAACAAAGTGAAAGTGTTCCTTGGGCGACACCTAAGAGAGCTGTCAACAAAATTATCAGAGATGTGGAAATGTGTTGAGAGTCCCAAGAAAGGCCTGTACAGTGTTACAGTAGAAAAGAATTTAAGAAAATTATTAAGCACAAATGCAGCAATATTACAAAGCAGATTGTAGGTGAATATGCCAAATCATTTATTATTGACTACCACAGATATCTCCAGGAAACAGCATGCTGAAGTGGGTAAACCAAACAGGGAGGACCTAGTAAAGAACCGGGAATCCTAATAAGGAGAGAGAAGTGATACTCAAAAAGGCACAGTGAAAGCTGCATATGTGAAAATCAAGGACTTTTCACACAGTGAACTGATGACTGATGTCTTTTTATCTTTTCCCAATATACTCCTCTTTCATTTATATAAAACACTTCATTTAATGTCATGCTGAAGAGACAGAGACTCCAGCATTATTAATGATGGATGAGTTTTATTCTGATTTCAAAACTGATTATCAAGGATTTTTGACAATTGCCTGAATTTTGGTTGCTTTAGTTTCTTAGATGTATCTATTCTCATCATAACCTCCATATAAGCCAACATAACTTTTCACCCCCAAAGAGACAAGCAAATAACTTGTTCAAGAAAAAAAAAGACTTCCAAACATTCACTGCTGTCTGAATATTCCCATCTGACTTTAGGATTTGAGCACAATGGGAATTCAGAGTTGTAGCCAATCTTCTTCTCTGTGATTATGTCTTTCCTTGTGATCATCTTGAATAGAGTTTCCCTTGTGTTTTCAAAACAACTCTGAGATTCCATCTTATATCCATCAGAATGGCCAAGAGCAAAAACTCAAGTGACAACACATGCTGGAGAGGATATGGAGAAAGGGCAATCCTCCTCCATTGCTGGTGTTACTTTAAACTTGTATAATCACTTTGAGAATTAATCTGGTGCTTTATCAGAAATTTGGGAATATGGTAGCTCAAGATCAAGGTATACCATTCCTGGACTTATGCCCAAAACCTGTTCCACCATTCAACATTGACATTTGCTCAACTATGTTCATGGAAGCTTTAGAATATTAGCAATATAATATAAGATAACCATACTAAAATCTAAAGACCTAAAGAAGCTAAACAAAAAAGGAGAAGTCTAGGGAGGATGCTTAAATCTCATTCAGAATGGCAAAAAGGATAGACACCAGAAGTGGTGGGAGATAGGGAACAGGACAGGAGCTTACCATAGAGGCCCTCTGAAAGTCTCCACCCAACAGGGGATCGAAGCAGATGCTGAGACACATAGCCAAATTTGGGCAGAGTGCAGGGAGTCTCATGGGAAGGGATGGCATAGAAAGTCCTGGAGAGGACAAGTGCTCCACAAGGAGACTAACAATGTTAAAAAAAATCTGAGCCCAGGGGTCCTGCAGAGACTGATTTACCAACCAAGGACCATGCATGGACAGGACCTAGATCCCTTGCTCAGATATTGTCAATAGGAAGCTCAGTTTCCATGTAGGTTCCCAAGTAAGCGGAGCAGGGTCTGCCTCTGTCACAAACTCTAACTCGGTTGCCTGCTCTTTCTTTACTTCCTCCTGGTGATGCAGCTTTGCTAGACCACAGAGATAAAGGATCCAGGCAGTCCTGATGAAACTTAATAAGCTAAGGTCAGATGGCGGGGATAAAAAACTTCCCCTTTCAGTGGGCTAGAGGAAGGGGATAGAAGGGAAGAGGGAGGGAGAATGGGACTGGAAGGAGATAAGGGAGGTGCCTAAAAATAAGTAAATAAATAAATGAATAAATAAATTAATTGATATCCTAAAAAAATAATTGTTCTGGCTACAATTTGGCACAAGCTAAGTTCATCCTAGAAGAGGGACTCTCAACTGAGAGAATGCCTCCATAAGATCAGGCTGTAAACGAGGCTGTAGGGCATTTTATTAATTAGATTTTATAAATTACACACTATGTAAAAAAATTAAATTTATTTATTTTATTAATTACACATTGTGCACTTTGTATCCCAGCTGTAGCTCCCTCCCTCTTCCCCTCCTAACCCCATCCTGTCTCCCTCTTCTACTCCAATGCCCCTCCCCCAGTCCACTTATAGGAGAGGTCCTCCTCCCCTTCCATCTAACCCTAGTCTATCAGGTCTCATCAGGACTGGCTGCATTGTCTTCCTCTGTGGCCTGGTAAGGTTGCAGCTGCTTCCCCATTAGGGGAAGGTGATCAAAGAGCCAATTCATGTCCCAGACTGTCCCTGTTCCCATTACTAGGGAACCCTCTTGGGCACTGAGCTGCCATGGACTACATCTGTGCAGGATTATCTCCATGACACACTTTTAAAACATAAAACTAAAATTTATCAATCACAGCAGTGAAAGGAATGGAGTGCCCCCACCACAAGCCCAGCAGTGGTGAATGCCATTGCTGTCCTTTGTATACTCCATTTCCTTGCACAAAGCTTCACCTTCCATTCCCAGAGGTCTACTGCCATCAGGGACTGCTAGGTGAGACCCCCCCCCACCCCGCACACAATTCCATTCTCTGCCTACCCAGTCCCCCAAAAGCACTCCCAATAGCAGTGAACTGCACCTACTTCCCTGGGTTCCATTTTCTGAGCCACAATTCTATCTGCATTACTAGGGGCCTGCCAATACTAGGAACAACAAATGGATAAAGGCCAGTGTAAAAATGCCCAAAACAGCCTCTGAAAGACTTCACCCAGCATATTAAAGCAGATGAGAGACTCATAGCCAAATTTTGAGCAGACGGCAGAAAATTTTTTAAATAAAGGGGGAGATAGAAAGACCTGGAGGGGACAGGAGCTCCGCAAGGAGAGCAACAAAACACAAAAATCTGGGCCCGGGGCTCTTTTATGACACTGATACTCCAATCAAGGACCATGTGTGGAGATAACCTAGAACTCCTACATAGATGTAGTCCATGGCAGCTTAGTGTCCAAGTGGGTACCCTAGTAAGGGGAACAAGGGCTGTCTCTGACATGAAGTCGGTGGCTGGTTCTTTGATCACCTCCCCCTGAGGGGAGAACAGCCTTACCATGCTACAGAGGAAGACAATGCAGCCAGTCCTGATGAGACTTGATAAGCTAGGGTCAGAGGAAAGGGGAGGAGGACTTCCCCTGTAAGTGGACTGGGGGAGGGGCATGGGAGGAGAGAGGGAAAGAGGGTGGGATTGGAAGGGGTTCAAGGAGGGGGCTACAGTTGGGATACAAAGTGAATAAACTGTAATAAATAAAAAATAAAATTTTAAAAAGAATAAAGGACTGAAATAAAAAGAGTAAGTCCTTGAACAACAACAACAACAAAAAGAATACCCTCAACAAGAGTCAGGTCAACGGCACCACTAGAATCCAGCAAGCTGGATTATTTTACTACACCAAACCCTGTAGAGCATAACACAGTTAAAGAACAGGAAAATGACCTTAAATTTAAACTTATGAAGATGATATGGGCCTTTAGAGAGAAAGTGAATAAATCCCTTAAAGAAATAGAGGAAAATACAAACAGGTGAAGGAAATGAATATAACCATTTAAGACCTGAAAATGGAAGCAGAAGCAATAAAGAATACACAAACTGGCACAATCTTAGAGATGGAAAACATAGGTAGGAGAACAAGAACTATAGACTCAAGCATCATCAATAGAATACAGAAGATTAAAGGGAGAAGCTCAGCGTAGAATATATAATAGACAATACTATTATTAGGGTTAAAGAAAATGTTAAATCTAAAAATATTCTAACCCAAAACATCCAAGAAGTTGGGGACACTGTGAAAAGACCAAACATAAGAATAATAGGAATAGAAGAATGAGAAAATTCCCCATTCCAAGGCTGAGAAAATGTTTTCAATATATATAATTCTTCTTTGTAAGCATGAACTTAAAAATATATCTAATAAAATAGACTTTCAACCAAAATTAAACTAAAGAGATGTGGTGAAACACTTCATACTCATCAAAGGAAAAATCCATTAAGATGTGACTCTTTATCTTCCAAATACACACATTTCTAAAAGAAATATGACTAAAGCTTAGACCACACACTGAATGACCCACATTAATCATCCCACTCTCACCCATGGACAAGTCATACAAACAGAAACTAAACAGAGAAATAATGAAACTGACAAACATTATGAATCAAGTGAATGTAACATATATTTACAGAATATTTTACCCTAACATGAAAGAATATAGCTTCTTATCAGCACCTCACAGAGCCTTCTCCAAAAATGGTCATATAGTCAATCACAAAAAGAGCCGCAGGAGATACAAGAAAGTGAAATAACATCCTGTATCTTATTACACCACCATAGATTAGAGCTAGATTTCAACAATGACAGAAACAACAGAAAGCATACAATACTCAATGACTATTGGGTCAAGAAAAAAATAAAGAAAGTAAGGATTTTCTAAGATTCGATGAAAATGAAGTTAACATACCCAAACCTATAGGACACAATGAAACCAGTGCTATTCATAAAGAACTTGGAGAGATAGCATGCTAGCAACTTAATGACATACCTGAAAGCTCTACAACAAAATGAAGCAAACACACCCAAGAGGAATAGTTGGCAGGAAATAATTAAAATCAAGGTTGAAATCAATTAATTATAAATAAAGAGAACAGTACCAAGAATCAATGAAACCAAGAGTTGGTTCTTTGACAAAATAAAAAAAAATAAACAAACTCTTAGCAAACTAACTACAAAGCATACAGAGAATCTCCAAATTTACAAAATCAGAAATGAAAGGGGAACATGACAACAAACACATAAGAAAAACAGGACCAAATGGTTTTAATGAAGAATTCTGCTAAACTTTCAAAGAAAAGCTGATAACTATACTCCTCAAACTATTCTACAAAACAAAAACAGAAAGGTAATTGCTGAACTCATTCTATTGGGCCATAGTCACTCTGATAACTAAACTATATAAATTCTCAACAAAGAAAATTTTAGATAAATTTCCCTTTTGAACATTGATGCAAAACTACTCAGTATAATTCTCACAAACCAAATCCAAGAACACAGCCAAAAGATCATTCATGATCAAGTAAGCTTCATCCCAGAGATGCAGGGATGGTTCAGTTATACAAAAAAACATAAATTTAATTCTCCATATAAGCAAAATGAAAGAAAAAGAAAACACATGATCATTTCATTAGATGATGAAAAAATCTTGCACAAAATCCAACACTCCTTCCTGATAAAAAGTTTTGCAGGCATCATGTGTTCAAGGAGCAAACATAAACACACTGAAGGCAATATATAACAACCTTATAATAAGGAGAGGGACATGGGTGGAGAAGAGGGAGGGTGGAATTGGAAGGGGAGGAGGGAGAGAGGCACAGGGGGGATACAAAGTGAATAAACTGTAATTAATAAAAATTTGAAAAATGGAAAAAAAATAACATCAAATTAAATGAAAAGAAACTTGAAAATTTTTCACTACAAACAGGGACAAGACAAGGCTGTCCAGTTTCTCCATTTCTATTCAATATAAGTACTTGAAAATTTATCTAAAGCAATAATATAACTAAAGAAGATCAAAGGGATACAAATTGGAAAGAAAAAATTCAAAGTGTCTCTACTGGCAAACAATATGAGAGTGTGCATGGTTCTACTGTAGAACTCCTACATCTTATAAACACCTTCTTCAGCAAAGTGGCTGAATACGAAATTAACTCAAAAAATCAGTAGTCCTCCTTTATACAAATGTGGGTTTTTTTAATTTTCATATATACTATCCTGCTCAAAACTCAAACCTAAGTGGATCAAAGACCTCAAGAAGAGCTGATAGAAGAAAACTTAGGAAGTAGCCTTGAACGCATTGACACAGGAGACAATTTCCTGAACAGAACACCAACAGCTCAGACACTAAGATCAACATTTATTAAATGGGACCTCATGAAACTGAAAAGCTTCTGTAAGACAAAGGACACCATCAACAGGGAAAAACACAACAGCAAATCAGACAGAGGGCTAATATCCAAAATATATAAAGAACTGAAGATATTAGACAACAACAAGCCAAACAACCCAATTAAAGAATGGGGAACAGAGCTAAACAGAGAATTCTCAACAGAAAAATCTTTAATGGCCGAGAAGCATTTAAAGAATTATTCAACATACTTAATCATCAGGGAAATGCTAATCAAAACAACTCAGATTCCATCTTACACCTGTCAGAATGGCTTAGATTGAAAACTCAAGCAACAGCTTGTTCTGGCGAGGATGTGGAGCAAGGGGAACACTCCTACATAGCTGGTGGGAATGAAAATGTGTACAACCTCATTGGAAATTTATCAGTTTCTCCAAAAACTGGAAATAGTTCTATGTCAAAACTCAGCTATACCACTCCTGGGCATATACCCAAAGGATGCTGTACTGTAATGCAAGGACTCTTGCTCACCTATGTTCACAGACGCTTCATTTGTAATAGCCAGAAACTAGAAAACAGCCCAGATGTCCCTTAACTAAAGAATGTATAAATCAAATATGGTACATTTAAACAGTGGAATATTCCTCAGTTATTTAAAAAATAGCATCATGAATCTTGCAGGCAAATGGCTAGAACCAGAAACTGTCATCCTGAGTGAGGTAACACAGACCCAGAAAGACCAACATGGTATGTACTCACTTGTAAGTAGATACTAGCCATAAAGAACAGGATAACCAGGCTGTAATCCACAGACCAAAAGAAGCTAAGTAACAAGAAGGGCACAAGGGAGGATGTTTGACTCTCACTGAGAAGGGAAAATAAAATAGATATGTGTGGTAGATGGAGGGAGGTATCTGGGTGGGTTGGGTGAGGAGGAAAACAGGAGGGATCAAGTGTGAGGAGGATGGAGAATGAGAAAACTGAAAGAAAGAACTAGAATTAGTATTAGGGGCATCTCTGGGACAAGTTAAAAATCTAGGACAATAGAAACTTCCAGGAATCTATAAGGGTGACTCTAGAGCTAAGACTTCTAGCAATAGGGTATATGAAACATGAAACAGTCACCTCCTGTAACCAGGCAAATCTTTCAATGGATGGTTGGGAATACCAACCGAGGCACAAAACCTTCGACCCACCCTTTTCCTGCCAATAAAGGGGACAAGGATAAAGAGGGAGTAGAAAGTGAAGGAATGGCAAACCAAAGTCTGGTCCAACTTGCATCCCATGTTGAGAGACAGAGTCCACCACTGAAACTATTAATATTCTGATATGCTTGCAGACAGGAGGCTAGCATGACAGTCATTTGAGTAGCTTTACCCAGCAGCCAATGAAAACAGATGCAGACACCCACAGCCAAACACAAGGCTGAGCATGGGGAATCTTGTGGAAGAAAGGGAGGAAGGTTTAAAGATCCAGAGAGGTCAAGTACACCACAAGAAAACCTACAGAATCAACCAACCATAGAGCATGCATGGGACAGACCAAAGTCCCCAAAACATATGTAACAGATGTACAGGGTAGTCTTCATGTGGTTCCTCTAACAGCAGGAGCAGGGGCTGGCTCTGACTGTTGCCTGTCTTTGTATCCCTTTCTCCTAACTGGACAGATAGCCTTGTCTAGACAAAGCAGGTTGATGTCCATAGGAGCCCTCCCCTTCACTGAGGATAAAGGAAGGAAGGCATAAGGATAGGGGAGCCCTGCAGACTCTCAAAGCAGACGCTGAGACTTATGGCCAACTGTTGGGCAGAGTGCATGGAATCTTATGTAAGAAGTGGGAAATAGTAAGATCTGGAAGGGACAGGAACCCCACAAGGAGAGCAACAGAACCAGAAAATTTGAACACAGGGATCTTCCCAGAGACTCATACTCCAACCAAGTACCATGCATGGAGATAACCTTGAACCCCTGCACAGATGTATCCCATGGCAGTTTAGTGTCCAAGTGGGTTCCATAGTAATAAGAAGAGGGACTGCCTCTGACATGAACTGATTGGCCTGCTCTTTGATCACCTCCCCCTGTGGGGAGAGCAGCCTTACCAGGCCACAGAAGATGACAATGCAGTCACTCCTGATGAGATCTGATAGACTAAGATCAGAAGGAAGGAGAGGAGGACCTCCCCTATCAGTGGACTTGGGGAGGGGCATGCGTGAAGAAGGGGGAGGGAGGGTGGGATCAGGGGGGGGAGGAGGGAGGGGCTTATGGGGGGATACAAAGTGAATAAAGTGTAATTAAAAACAAAAAACAAAACAATAATAATAATAATAAAAGGGAATAAAAATTACTTATGAGTTTATTGTATTATACCAATTTTTTGCTCAGAGATTTGTTGTTTATTTGATGATTTGAACTACAGTAACAAACAAAAATCTAAATATTGTTAGGTCGTGCTGATTTTGATTATTTTTTAGTGAAAGTAAAGAAAGATGAACCCAAGATAATTCTCACTAATTTATATGATGAAGTAAAAACTGAGTCACCAAATAAGTAAAACAAGGTACATTTAAGGCCCTGGTTCTCAACCTTTCTAGTGCCTTAATAGAGTATCTCATGTTATGATAAATCCCAAACATAAAACTATTTTATTGCTACTTTATAATTGTAACTTTGCTATGTTATGAACGGTAATGTAAGTATCTGATATACAGGATATGTGATAGGTCGACCCTGTGACCCGCAAGAAGTCTTGACCCCCAGGTTGAGAACTGCTGATTTAATGAAAAACATTGTGTTCAAGTCTGCAGAAAGTAGTATGAATTGCAGCTGGAATGTGAATACAGGCTCAGGGCAACAAAAGTAGGGCAATGAACCAATCAGACATTTCCATATGGCTTTCCAATCCTTCACTTTCTCTAATGTAGTTTTTGAAGTAAAACATTAATTTAGTTAAAATATACCCAGATTTAATCCTTAAGAATCACTTATTTAAATCGCAAACTTAGACTTACCCAATTTTTAGTGTATCGGGCTCTGCCCGAAGCAATTCCGAGTCTTTGAAAAAACACTTCAAAGTCATTGCCAGAGCCGAGTTTGTTAATCCTTTGAGAGATAAAGTAGTAGAATTAATTCATAGTACACTGCTAATTGTATAAAGATCAAAGGTCAAATACCAAATTCTAGTTATACTAATACAAATATGAGAGCGTTAGACATACAACTGAAATAAGATATTTCTTATGGTGCTGAAAAATGTGCTTCCTCTATAATACCATTCTATGGAGAGGAAATTTTATATATCACAGTTTATTTAAAGATTTCAAAGACTGTGGAATGCTTTCCATCAAAATATTTGTTTCAGAGCCAGGGGTGGCTCCATAATCCCAGCACTCAGGGAGGCAGCGACAGGGAGATCTCTGTGAGTTCGAGGCCAGCCTGAACTACAAAGTGAATCCAGGACAACCAAGGCTACACAAAGAAACCCTGTTGTGAAAAACCAAAAAAAACAAACAAACAAACAAACAAACAAAAACAAAGAAACAAAAAAATCAACAAAACAAAATATTTCATCTGTGTTTGGTGAATAAGCTAGTGAAAGGACTAATCCTTATTCGGATCATTAGGATACAAATTCCATCAGATTATAGTAGAGTATTCACACTGTAGATGTCACCTCTACAAACTACTGATATGTTTCCTTCCTCTTGCATGTAAAGATACCACCACTAACAGTGTTATAATATTATCAGAGTAAACAAAATACTTGTTAATTTCATTCAGTAGAATGAATAACGACAGACTGACAAGTGATATTTGGCAGGAATTGTGTTTCATTTTCTCCATTGTAACCTTTTATATGTACAATGTGCAAGCATCTTGTATCCTAATGGGCACTATGCTTCTCCCTTGGGTTCCCTAGTAGGGATACAGGGACTGTCTCTGACATGATCACATGATCACTCTGATCACCTCCCCCTGGAAGAGTGTAGCCTTGCCAGGCCACAGAGGAAGATGATGCAGCCAGTCCTGATGAGACCTGATAGGGTAGGGTCTGATAGAATGGGAGGAGGTCCTCCCCTATCAGGGGAATAGAGAAGGAGCATAGAGGGCGAAAAGGAAGGATGGGTGGGGTTGGAAGGAGAGGAGAAAGGGGGCTACAGCAGGGATACAAAGTGAATAAATTGTAATAAACAAACAAATAAATAAATTTTAAAACAAACAAAAATATTAGTTATTTTTTACAGTGTAATTTGAAGGGCCCTTGATGTTAGAAGCTTGGCTGCTGCCTCTTGCACACAGCTTACTCAAAAATCGATTTTGCAAACTTCATATTTATTTTCAAAACACAGGATAATGTTTTACTGTAAACCTAAGCACTGGGTTTATTTGTCAGAGTTCAAAGCATTTTGAAAGTTACTTCTTACTAACAACTGAAACAAATGACCCTCTTATTTCAAAAACAATTCAAACAGCAACCAAACTTGATAGAATGGGTGGGATTTTTGTGTTACCTGGGCATTCCAATGAAGTCGGGTGAAGGACTCTTTTCTTTCCAACTGTCATAAAGAGATTTGCCTTCAAAGCCTTCATCAGGGCTTTGTAGCTACACAAGTTAAAAAGTTAAAAAGACAAGAATACTCACAAAACTGATGCATAAGCATAAATGTCCATTAATGAGAAAATGAGGAGTCAAAGTACATTTCAGAAACAAACTTTGAGCAGCCTGCAGGGAATCTTAGAAAAGAAAGGGGAGATAGCAAGACCTGGAGAGGACAGGAGCTCCACAATGAGAGCAGCAGAACCAAAATATCTGGACACAGGGGTCTTTTCTGAGACTGATACTCCAACCAAGGACTATTCATGGATATAACCTAGAACCCCTGCTCAGAAGTAGCCCATGGCAGCTCAGTCTCCAAGTGGGTACCCTAGTAAGGGGAACAGGGACTGTCTCTGACATGAACTCAGTGGCTGGCTCTTTGACCACCTCCCCTTTATCGGGGAGCAGCCTTGCCAGACCACAGAGGAGGACAATGCAGCCAGTTCGGATGAGACTGGATAAGCTAGGGTCAGATTAAAGGAGGACCTCCCTTATCCCTGGAGTTGGAGAAGGGCACAGGAGGAGATGAGGAAGGGAGGGTAGGATTGGGAGGGGTGAGGGAGGGCGCTACAGCTGGGATACAAAGTGAATGAACTGTAATTAATATAAAAAACAACAAAAATAAACAGTGAGTGAACAATTTTTAAAAAAAGTTGCTGAGAATTATATAGCTGCTCTGTAGTGCTTTCCCGGTATGCTGGAGGCTTGGGGTTCAATGCCAAGCATAGGGATTTGGGATTTACAATACAAAATTTCTGGAGGGAAAATATCTCTACTTGTGTAAGCACAGGTATGACTGTGTGGGGTGCATAGAAAAGAATTCAGCAAATTATCGGCAAAGCGTTGTCTATGGAGGATCTAGGACAGTTTTCCTAGATCAAAGAAAACTATTCTCAAAACCATATACTTCTATTATTTTTTTTCCTGTTGCTATTGCTTCTTGTCTGTAGGATTTCAGCAGTTTTGATATATAATGAAATAAGTCATTAGATAACATAACAAAGTGTAATGCAATTAATGGCTTTTCTTTATCAATTGATTGCTCTTCGTGATTGTGCCTAACACCAGGATTTAAAATCATTGTCTGGCTTTATGGGCAAAAAACATAAAGGAGTAAAATATGACCCATTACTGAATTTTCAAATTAGAAAATATCAAGTTATACCAAGCGTATTTAATCAGCTGAGCATCATTAAAATTCCATAGCTATTTAGGTTCAGCAAAATAATTTGTCTAAAATTACATTTTATACTTAATAACTGTCAAGCGTAATAGATTTCAACAAGATTAGTTTAAAATTAAATTAAAATTAAACACCTGCACTATTTAAAAGTTTTTATACAAAAATATAGAGGTCAGTATACTATATTCTTTAACAAATTTATCTTTAAATAATTATATGAACACAAATTAGATGCCTCTAGGATGAGAAGAAAATTAGAAGATATATAAAATATGAATAAAGAAACAAAATTATTTCATTCACACTTTTAAATTTACTCTCCATTTTAAGAAGCATACATTTAAAAGTATAATACTGTGTTAATAAAATTATCTGTCTATCAAATAAATATGTTTTGACTTCAATTGTTTTATTCGAGGAAAACTAGCTGAGGCTGGTCAAACAAAGTTAAAAAACTACATGTATGTGCAAATGTAGAGTATGAGGACCTCAACCTTTACCTTAATACAACTACAACTTTCTGAGATTCAGCTTTATAACACTATCTTCTTTACAACTTAAATGAAATTAATTTAAGTTTTCTAAGGTGTGAAATATTAGAAACAAATTCATAAGGATGTTATTTATGGAATCACTTGAAAAGAAATTTTGCTTCCAGATGTCTAAATGATCATCCTAGTGACTTTTCAGAAACACAGAATGATGGCTCAGGAGGCCTAAATCTTTAGGTATTACCCTTTACATTGCATTACTATTACTCTTTAATTCTTAGCCATCAAATAAACATCTACAAAAATTCGCCCCCCCTCAAAAAAAAAAATAAGTTTCATGAATCACATACACCAACCCTGGCCCAGCAGTATTTTCACAGCTGTAGCAGGAGAGCACTAATTCAGGAGACGAACAGAACAAACTGCTAAGTTTCTGTGTCATTTGCCTTGAATTATTGAGCAATGAGGTTTCTCTGAAAAACTAGATTGAGATATTTAAATTTTACCTGCTACATAGAATCTGATAAAACTGCATTTAAACTGGGGAGATGGCTCAGAGGTTAAGAGTGTTGGCTGATCCTCCAAAGGTCCTGAGTTCAATTCTCAGCAACTACATGGTCTATAGTGAGATTTGGTGCCCTCTTCTGGCCTGTAGGCACACATGCAGGCAGAGTAATAGTAAGAGCTGGAGGGGACAGGAACTCCACAAGGAGAGCAACAGAACAAGATAATTTGAACACAGGGAACTTCCCAGAAAATCATACTCCAACCAAGGACTATTTGTGGAGATGACCTGGAACCCCTGCACAGGTGTAGCCCATGGCAGTTCAGTGTCCAAGTGGGTTACATAGTAATGGGAAGAGGGACTGCCTCTGACATAATCTGATTGGCTTGCTCGTTGATCACTTCCCCCTGAGGGGGGAGCAGCCTTACCAGGCCACAGTAGAGGACAATGCAGCCACTTTTGATGAGAACTGATAGCTAAGATCAGAAAGAAGAGGAGAACCTCCCCTATCAGTGGACTTGGGGAGTGGCATGCATGCAGAAAGGGGAGGGAGGGTGGGATCGGGAGGGGAGGAGGGAGGGGCTTATGGGGGGATACAAAATGAATAAAGTGTAATTAATAAAAATATTATCCACTATGACCAAGTAGGCTTCATCCCAGGTATGCAGGGGTGGTTCAATATACGGAAATCCATCAATGTGAGCCACCATATTAACAAACTGAAAGAAAAAAAACCACATGATAATCTCCCTAGATGCTGAAAAAGCATTTGACAAAATCCAACATCCATTCATGTTTAAAGTACTGGAGAGATCAGGGATACAAGGCACATATCTAAACATAGTAAAGGCGATATACAGCAAGCCTATAGCCAACATCAAACTGAACGGAGAGAAACTTAAAGCAATCCCACTGAAATCAGGGACAAGACAAGACTGCCCACTCTCTCCATATCTCTTCAACATAGTGCTGGAAGTCCTTGCTAGAGCAATAAGACAGTCGAAGGAGATCAAGGGGATACAGATGGGAAAGGAAGAAGTCAAATTATCACTATTTGCAGATGATATGATAGTATATATGAGTGACCCCAAAAACTCTACCAGGAAACTCCTACAGCTGATAAACACCTTCAGCAAAGTGGCCGGATACAAAATTAACTCAAAAAAATCAGTAGCACTCCTGTATACAAAAGACAAAAGGGCTGAGAAAGAAATTAGAGAAACAACACCATTCACAATAGCCACAAATGACATAAAGTACCTTGGTGTAGCCCTAACCAAGCAAGTCAAAGACTTGTATGAAAAAAATTTCAAGTCTCTGAAGAAAGAATTAGAGGAAGATATGAGAAGATGGAAAGATCTCCCATGCTCATGGCTTGGCAGGATTAACATAGTAAAAATGGCCATCTTACCAAAAGCAATCTACAGATTTAATGCAATTCCCATCAAATTGCCAACACCATTCTTTACAGACCTGGAAAGAAAAATTCTCAACTTCGTATGGAATAACAAGAAATCGAGAATTGCTAAAACAATCCTCTACAATAAAAGATCTTCTGGAGGTATCTCCATCCCTGATCTCAAGCTGTACTATAGAGCAACAGTTATAAAAACTGCATGGTACTGGCATAGAAACAGAATGGTGGATCAATGGAATCGAACAGAAGACCCAGGAATAAACCCACACACTTACGGACACCTGATTTTTTACAAAGATGCCAAAACCATACAATGGAAAAAAGATAGCATCTTCAACAAATGGTGCTGGTCCAACTGGATGTCTACATGTAGAAAAATGAAAATAGATCCATACTTATCACCCTGCACAAAACTGAAGTCCAAGTGGATCAAAGACCTCAACATAAAACCAGACACATTAAATCGGCTAGAAAAAAAAAGTGGGGAATACCCTAGAACTCATTGGTACAGGAGAAAACTTCCTGAACAGAACACCAACAGCACAGGCTCTAAGAGCAACAATCAATAAATGGGACCTCATGAAATTGAAAAGCTTCTGTAAAGCAAAGGACACCTTCATCAAAACAAAGCGACTGCCTACAAATTGGGAAAGAATCATCACCAACCCTCTATCTGACAGAGGACTCATATCCAATATATATAAAGAACTAAACAAGCTGAAAAGCAACAAACCAAGTAATCCACTTAAAAAATGGGGAACAGAGCTAAAGAGAGAATTCTCTGCAGAGGAATATCGAATGGCAGAGAAGCACTTAAAGAAATGCTCAACCTCATTAGCCATTAGGGAAATGCAAATCAAAACAACCCTGAGATTTCACCTTACACCCATCAGAATGGCCAAGATGAAAATCTCAAGGGACAACACATGCTGGAGAGGTTGTGGAGAAAGGGGAACCCTTCTCCACTGCTGGTGGGAATGTAAACTGGTACAACCACTCTGGAAATCAATCTGGCGCTTTCTCAGACAACTAGGAATAGTGCTTCCTCAAGATCCAGCCATACCACTCCTAGGCATATACCCAAAAGAGGCGCAAGTACACAAAGAGGACATTTGCTCAACCATTTTTGTAGCAGCTTTATTTGTAATAGCCAGAAGCTGGAAACAACCCAGATGCCCCTCAACTGAAGAATGGATGCAGAAACTGTGGTACATCTATACAATGGAGTATTACTCAGCAATGAAAAATAAGGAAATCATGAAATTTGCAGGTAAATGGTGGGACCTGGAAAGGATCATCCTGAGTGAGTTGTCCCAGAAGCAAAAAGACATGCATGGTATATACTCACTCATATAAACATACAATATAAATTAACCCACTAAAATCTATACATCTAAACAAACTAAGCAAAAGAGAGGACCCTAACTAAAATGTTCAATCCCCATTGATATTAACTGGACAGAAAAAGTTACAGATAACTTTCTTAAGACTATTCAATATTCTGAGTTTGTTGCTCTCCCCCCAAATAAAAACTACATCCCAAATCAACAGGAAGTGATTTAAGAAGACTATGCCCAATTCCCAAGAGGAGGAAGATGGGTTTTGGTCATTCAATGGCAAATGGATGTGTTATTGTTTTAAAGGGGCTGGTTATAGGAATGATAAGTAAAAGGGTTTTTGAATCTCCTTTTAGACCAAAGAGTATTAATAAGCCAAAAATCTTACTTTGGTGTTAATCTTTGTATACTGATACAGATTTAAGATTATAATAGGTTACAACAGTCTAAGGTATTCTATCTATGTAATTCTTAAACTGCAATATTACGTTCTAGTCCTTTTTAAAGTTGCTATTACTCAACTTTTTAGGATAATTAAGAAAGTCATACTTAATAGTATGAATTGTAGTCAGACAATCAAACTCATGGTCATAGTAGATACTAGTTTAGTTAACTACACAAATGTGTTTTCTGAATAAAAAATAGCTAGAAACAATTAAGATAGATGGTTTTTAAAAACCTCAGCTATCAAGGGGAGGGACATAGCTGGGGGTGGGAGAGAGAGGATGGAACTAGGAGGACATGAGGGAAGGGGCTACATCCAGGATACAAAGTAAATAAATTATAATACATAATAAGAACAATAAAAAATTTAAAAACCTTAAATAGCTACAGAATATGGTATTTAAATATTGTATTGACTTAAGGCTTTTTTGACAATGAGACAGGTATGTTTCTGGAAGCACTACTACAAAGAGCAACAAAGGCTTCGTAGGTGGCAAGCTAGCGATGGGGTGAGAAAATGCCCATGGGTCAATTATAGATATAATACTGTCCCAACTGGACATACTGGGTACAGTAGAGTTGACTGCAGAGCTCTGCAAGGACAGGGTAAACGAGTCCTTTAAAATCCCTGCTTCATAGAAAGGTCTGTAAAATATTCTGAGCCAAAAGGCTGAAGATGTTATAGAGAAATTTCAATGTTATAGAGAAATTTGGGGAGACTGTCCAGGCAGCAAAATATCTCTGTCATTTTTATACTTTTGGAAGTTGCTTGACTGTTCTTCCTACATATTTAAGTAATGTTTATTCCTTCTTAAGTCTGATGGGGTTGATGGATGGATAGTTATAGTCTCATAGATAAACTTAAATTGTTTAAGATGATAGAAATTGTTAGATAGCAGAGTACTTTATCCAAGGGTACCAAAATACTAATTTAAGCATTACCTAATAATTTTCATAATTGTCATTATTGCATATAGTTTGTTATTGTAAGAGAAAGAACCTTTTATTAGAGTAAAAGGGGGAGGTGATCAAAGAGCCAGCCACCAAGTTCATATGAGAAACAACCCCTGTTCCCCTTACTAGGGAACTCACTTAGAGACTGAGCTGCCATGGGCTACTTCTGAGCAGCCATTCTAGGTTATCTAGGTTATATCCATGAATGGTCCTTGGTTGAAGTCCCACTCTCAGGAAAGACCCCTGTGCAGAGATTTGTTGTTTCTGTTGCTCTCCTTGTGTAGGTCCTGTCCTCTCCACGACTTACTGTCTCCCTTTCTTTCAGAACCCTTTCTTAAAAGAGGCTTGAGGGTAGGATTGGGAGGAAATATGGGAAGGAGCTACAGCTGGAATACAAAGTGAATAAAACGTAATTAATGTAAAAAAATAAAAATTTAATTAAGAAAAAAAGAGGCTTTCTCATAGAAGTATAAATGGTGCCTCAATCAGCTTCAGTGTCTGTTGCTGCTAAGAGAGCTAGGAGGCATGTCAGGCTCCCTTGATCGTGCTACAGATTGGAGTAAAAGGCAAAATTTAAGAAGGAAGATCAGAGACAGGGTCTGTGTCTGACAGGAACTCTGTGGTTGGCTCTTTGTTCACCTCCCCCTGACGGGGGGAGCAGCCTTATCAGGCCACAAAGGAAGACAATGCAGCCAGTTCTGATGAGACCTGATAGGCTAGGGTCAGATGGAAGGGGAAGAGAACCTCCCCTATCAGTGGAATGGGGGAGGGGCATGAGAAATAAGAGAGGGAGGGTGGGATTAGGAGGGAATGAGGGAGGGGCTGTACCTGGGATACAAAGCAAATAAACTGTAATTAATAAAAAAAAATAAAATTAAAAAAAGAAAAAAAAGAAGGAAGGTACAGGGCATCACCTAGTCTTTGTCCCCAAAATGACTGCATTTTCACTGAAGACCTTCAGTTCCTCACACATTATGAGTTATCTGATTTTACCATACAAGGTAGGTGCGGCATAAAGCAGTTATAGAATAAAGGGATTAAGCTGTAGCTCCAGCTACTGTAGGACTCCACGGGCTGCTTTATAATGTCTGTTTCTCCATTTTTTTTTTTTTCTGGAGTGGGTAGACAGAATGCAGCCTGAATACTGACTCACAGGGGTGGGAAGATAGGATGTAGTGTCCTGAGAAAGAATTGGTTATATGCGAAAGTTCAGGAAAGGAAATACTAGTCATGAGAAAGAAAGAAAGGAAGGAAGGAAGGAAGGAAGGAAGGAAGGAAGGAAGGAAGGAAGGAAGGAAGGAAGGAAGGAAGGAAGATAAAAAAATCGATGTGTAATATAACAGTGGCACCCAGAAATCATTTGCGGAGTTTCTGGGGTGACATTTCCTTCTCTTTACCTCTTTGGTTAGGTTGTACACTAAGCTGTGCATCAGAGGTGTGCAATCAACTCTCAGAGTGTAGTTTCCTGAAACAGAAGGGACGGGTTAAACGGCTTATCTCTTTTGTGTCCATTATCCACTTATTCAAAGACCACTACTAAACTATATAAAACACATTATTCCTTCAAACATGCACTTAATAAAAACTCTCTAATGTTCTCGATCTTAAAACCCGAAACACTTATTTATAAAATGATGACAGCGAATAAGTACTAAGGATTGTTATACCTTAAAAAATAACTTTGCAACTGCAAATGTGATATTTAATAAACAGAAGTAAATTTATCTCAGAAAAAAAAAATCCAACTTCTTTCACCCTGACACTGCTGAAACTTGTCCTGAGGCTGGGGAGAGAATTAAATAGGCCATATCTCCAAATCTTTACTTCCCACTGTACCCATGAACTCTTCATTAAGCGAACCAAAAATACTGTTTTCCCAGCTTGAATCACTGTTCTGCATCATATCTGTGTGACTTCTTCACCCTTTGGACTCATGTCATGTTTTCAGAGAAATCCCATTGACTCCTGTATGTGACACTGCACATTACTTCCACTCCAAACTAGCTGCCCTCCGCTTCTCTTGCCCTTGGTCTATTTTTAACTTCACTCACACACTGAATATCTTCCTTTACTTTTTCTCCGAATAGACTGTTAGGCCAGAGTGTGCACATGTGTCCCACAGCATGAGATTCCTTCCTTTAAAGTCATTTGTCTTTTATTCCCAAAGTAAAGATGCCTGTCACTGAAGTCTGAATCATGTAGGCCTTCATGAAGGCTGAATCATCCCAGCACTCAGGAGGCTGAAGCAGGATGCTCCTGACTGCACAACACGGTAAGAACTCTATCTAAAAAATATAGAAGAATACATATACAAACAGCAAAATGTAATACACAAATGCTTTTATATGAGAATGACTTGGAGGGAGATGGCATTTATTATGATATAAATGTACATATTGTGGGACAAAAGAATTACATTTATGAATCTCTATTCACTTCAGGCTTCGTATAGAAAAGTACATATACATAAAAGGACATTTGCTATAACGTCATCTATGGAACTGCAATGTAGTTGTTCTATTGAATATGATACAGAAATTTTACTGTTATACTGTTAGCACTTTTTTTTGTTTGGTGTTTTGTTCTTGTTGGTTGTTTTGTAAGTGTAGCAAGCCAATGCATATTCAACATATAAAATTTTTTACATATTTTCTGAGTGAAAAGGTAGATCTGGAACCATTTATCTGGAAAGTCATACAAAAGACCTGTAGGAACTAACAGGAGGTAAAAAAAAAAAAAAAAAAAAAAAAAAAAAAAAAAAAAAAAAAAAAAAAGCATAACAGTTAAGAGGAGTCTGAACTCAACTCATCCATAGCAGTTGACCTGTGGGAAGTTCTTGTCTTCTCTGAGTCAGAGCTTCCTCTTCTGTACCATAAGGTAAAGTAAGTAATTATGCCCTGTGATGGTTACACTACATAAAGAGTATATGGGGAGTGGTTAAGAAAGCATCTAAGCCTGGTGCAATGGTGCACACCTTTAATCCCAACACTCAGGGAGGCAGAGACAAATGGATCTCTGTGAGTTTAAGGCCAGTCTGATGTATGAAGGGAGTCCAGAACAGCCAAGGCTACACAAGGAAACCCTGTCTTGAAGGGGGAAAAAAAACATCTAAAATACTTCTGGTACATGTGTCACCTAAAAAACTTGAGAGTCCACATGACAGAAACACCCTAACTTGAAGAAATCAGTTCTTTTGAGAAGATATTAAAAGTGGATTGAGTAGAACTTCTTTTTTTCAATTTTACAAACTTTAGTATTTACAAAACAACTTAGAAATAAATAAAAATATCACTTTGCTGTTTTTTATGTCTATGATTTAACATAAATTCACAAATGTGTGATTTATTATATTCCTTGACAAGTGACCATTTAAACAAAAACTGCAATAGAAAGTGAGGGTTGTGGTACCTATGTGTACTTGTTCTTCATCTTAAAAATTATGATCCAGTTCCAGATATGACATAATTATCTAAGCCTAGTGATGTGCTAAAATACTGAACAAATCAAATGTCCAAGCCTAAATAATGACATCATTTTGAGTTATTTGAAAGTTGTTTATCTGCAATGTTTATTATATAAGGTACACACATACCATATAATTAGATTCGCATTTGTATTTTTGTAGAATAAATGCAAGGGCATGGGGCATGCTAGGTAACCCCTCTTTCACTGAACTATTCCCCAGCTCCCAGATCATCCTAATGAAGTAAGGAAAGAATCATCACATTAGGAATTTTTGAATAGTCACTATATGCAGATGGCAGTGTGGGAATGGAAAGGTAATTTTCCGATGACATGAGAGGAGGAGGAAGAACTGACCTGCATCAAGAAAGCTAAACTTTACGTCCGTGAGGCTCAGAAATGTACATCAAGAAGAAAATGTAAGTATCAATGTGCCTCCATCAAGGCACTATTCTACCATTATTGCCATGGAGAATTTACACTAAGTGTGTGTGTGTGTGAGAGTGTGTGTCATGGTGTACATCTAGAAGCCAGAATGCAACTTTGTGGAGTCAGTTCTTACTGTGCGTCTTTAAATCAGTTGCTAGGATAAGAGTTAATTTGTCAGGCTTCTCTGAAAGTGCCATAGATTGCTTAACCACCTCACAAGTCCCTATATTTAAATATCTTCTATGCCATGCAAGTAAAAAGATTCTTTGCATTCATGACTTCAGCATTCAACAGTTAATTATTACCATATTTAAGAGACTCTGGTAGAAGAGGGAAATTAAGGAATGAGGTTTTTCTGGGCCCACACTGTAATACAGAGTGGGGGAAATGTCTCTTAATTGCTCATGATATCAGGCCTGCATCAAGGCAAGAGGTGAGAAGGCAGCCACAGGTGCCCTACCTTACTGTTAATGGGCTGCTTTCTGTGATGGGACGTCATTCGCAACTAAATGATTACCTCTGGAATAACCACTGTTCTCTAACGAGGCCGATAATATTCACCTTCTATGGAAGAATCGGCGTTAATATAAGCCACCCCACGTTCTTGGAGGAGTCTGGAATGTTCCTATAACAAGATATTTAAAACTATAAGCATAAATATCACTCCCTACCACACAAGGCACATCTGTCTTTCATGAATGTCGATATTTCAATGAAGTTGGATCATGTTTCCCACAAGTTTGGCAGACACAATCTCAAAAGAAAGTTGGTTTGAGAATCTTAACGCAGTGGTTGCCAGTGAGAAGCAAGAGCAAACTTTTCTAAATTACATTTGAGAGACTGAGCAATTCACACACAGCAGGTGAAAAGGGAACTGGGAATTTAAACATGCACACGGATCTGTCACAGTTTTTCTCAGTAAATATCTATTTAGGAGACTTTTCAGTGGAAACATTATTTTATAAATCCTCTCGTTATTTGTTGGTGCAGCCTTGCCAGGAACAGAGGGAGACAATGCTGCCAGTCCTGATGAGACCTGATAAGGTGGGGTAGATAGTACAGGAGGACCTCCTCTATCAGTGGACGAGGGGAGGGGCTTAGGAGGAGAAGAGGGAGTGAGTGAGTGAGTGAGTGAGGGACTGGGAGGAAATGAGGGAGGGATCCACAGCCATGATAAAAACTGAATAAACTGTAATAAATAATACATCAAAAAATTTAAAAGAAAAAAAATATTTTAAATCCTCTCATTTTTTTTTTTTAAGTTTGGGTGATTTTCTCGATTCACAGGAAATGGGCTGTTTGTAATTTACTGGCCAGAGAGTTTACAAATAATACATGACCATGAAACCAATTTTTCTTGTAGGATGTCATTACCTACTTAATTCTTAGAATTAAGGAGTGTAGCTCCAAGTAGACATTTGGTTCTCCAAAACATTGAATTTCCTAAGAGCTTTGATTGTAAGAGAAAAATCAGGGAAGTGTGTGCGATTCTGAATGATAAAACCAACTTTTTTAATTTAATTTAGAAAAAAATGTTTATTGATCACTGTGAAGTGAATCAAGGGGCCGAGACGGGAGGGTTTTCGGAGTCCCAGGGCATGTGGATATAAATAAAGGGAATGACTGAAAACCAACAAAATAATAGCAATATTAATAATTTTTTAGAGACAAACTATGCCGTGAAATAATCAGAGAATTTCCTGACACGAGAATGAGATTTCTTGTGCAGAAAACTTCACCTTGATCAGCAGGAATAGGGCAGGTTTCCAGAGAAACCTGTAGTAGCCATCTCTGTGCAACAAGAGTCACGTGAGCAGTCAGGGCATTGCAGGAAGCTGATGTAGCAGATAGCAATGCTGCAGATACCTACTTCTCTGTCACAGTAGGATGGTGTTACTATCCAGGAGGCCTGGAAAACAGTCCATCTACCCTACTTTCTGCGGCATTTTAAAGTGAAGAGACCACTGAAATAAGTATAGACCAGGCCTTACTATCGAACCTGAGGATTCGGTGTGACTGACAATTGGAGCTGATTTGGGTAGTGTGTAAAAGGAACATTAGAAGTTGATAAGTTTTTGTATTTGGTTTCCAGTACAATGATTTATGATATTGCATCGTCAAAGTAAATTGTAATAATTGACAGCAGGTGTTTCTAAAAATTCAAACAAAACTGATTTCTTCAAATAAGATAATCTTGTTTATTTTTTTAAATATTTATTTATGTGGTGCATTGCATGCTTGCTGTGTGAGCATGCGTGTCATGTCACATATGAGTTGGTCAGAGGAGAAATTGCAGCTGTCAGTTTTCTCCTCCCACCACCTAGGTCCCAAGAATTAGACTCAAATCATCCGTTGGCAGCAAGTGCCTTTACAAACTGAATCATCTTGTTCTCCTCTTGTGGATTCTTGAACAATGATATTATTCTTTTGTATAATCAGACAAGTCTAACCTGTGCCCATGGGCCACATGCAGCCAAATATAGGTGTGAATGCAATCCAACACAAAATATGAGAATAGTTAAAGCATAATGAGATGATTTTCATTTGGTGATTTTTTTTTTAATAACTTGATTGTGTGAGTCTCAAACACAGATTTTGTACACAGGACATTATGTTGAAATATCAAAAGGTTGAAAGCACATACAAGACATTTTAGATCAACTCTAAGCATTGTCTGATTGGATTCAGTTATTATTTTTTTCAAGCTTCACAATACAATCCTAACTGCTTTGTCACTTAGGAAAATGTATATAGAAGCATAATTTCAACGAACCTCTGCCCACTCTGTTGATCCGAGAAGGCCATATTCTTCTGCATCCCAACTTGCAAACAAAATCGTTCTTCTAGGCCTCCATCCTAAAATACATGTGAAAAATAGAGAAATTCTGGCAGAGTATATAGTGTGCCTAAGACATGGAGAAGTCTCCAAGATGGAAACACACACAATTCTGCATATGAGTGGTTGTAGAAAGTACGATTTGTGGCTCACATCACACAATTACACAATTTCATCTCGTACGTTTTTAAAATGGTCTTGCTAAAATTGAATAGATCATTGTATTGTAAAAGGAAGAGTGTAGACAGTGAAAGCCTCATGAAGTTGAAAGATGCTCGAAATGTTTTACAACTGGCCAGGGGGAGGAAACCCCTCTGTTCTGCGGATGCCTGACACAGAGTGAAAACCACTGCTATAGCCAGTGCTGCAGTGGGAGGCAGAAATATGGGAACTATTTAAAACCCTCACCTGATGTTCTGAAATAACATGATGCAAACCTCAAGGTCGTCTGCTTCTGTGATTTTTTCTTCACTATCTTGTAAAATTAGTCATAAAGGGCTCACTGTGAGATAACCATATCCACTGATGCTGAAAACCTTACAATTTGATAAGTAAGCCTCTGAGGTAATAAACAGTGGCCTTTCAGTTGAAGAACGATACTATGTTAAACCCTGATTCTCACTCTTCCTAGATGTAAGACTGTGCCACACATACTGAATAAGCCTTTATGTCTTCATCTAAAAATCACTATAGATTAAAGAGAAGACACCATTTGATTACCAGGAATATTTTCAAAGGAAGGATTAATCCGTGCTTAATGATTCATGGAATTCTATTTCAGAAGCACCTAATAAGCGTTGTAAGGTCTTTAGAATACTGGTATGTATCTCGGGTATATTTATTAAGAATGATTTTGAAAATTGGGCAGTGGCGGTGCGGTGCCCAGCTTTACTAGCTCCTCTCCGCCAGCAGAGGCAGGCTGAACTCTGCGTTTGAGGCCAGCCTGGTCTACAGACTGAGTGCCCAGAGATCCAGGGCTACTCCACAGAGAAACTCTGTCTCAAAAACCAAACCAAAACAAACAAACAAAAAAAAAAAAAAAACACGACTCAGAAAACAAGCTGGGGTAGCCATCCTAATATCTGATAAAACAGATTTTAACCAAAATTAATGAAAAAAGATGATCAGGGGCACTTCCCTCTCATCAAAGGAAAATTCCACCAGGAGGACATCACAGTCCTGAACATCTGTGCCCCAAATACAAGAGCACCTGCATTTGTACAGGAAACATTATTTCATTTATTTATTTATTTATTTATTTATTTATTTATTTATTTATTTTTAGAAAATTTTTTACTATTAATTACACTTTATTCATTTTTTATTCCCCCATAAGCCCCTCCCTCCTCCCCTCCCAATCCCACCCTCTCTCCTCCTTCCTCATGCATGCCCCTCCCCAAGTACACTGATAGGGGAGGTCCTCTTCTCCTTCCTGCTGATCTTAGTCTATGAAAAACTCAATTGACAGCACATGCTGGAGAGGACGTGGAGAGAGTGTAACCCTCCTCCATTGCTTTTGGAACTGTAAACTTGCGCAACCACTTTTGAAATCAATCTGGTTTAGGAATTGTAGTAACTCAAGATCCAGCTATATCAAACCTAGGAATATATCCAAAAATTGCTCAAGTATACAACAAGGACATTTGCTCAATAGGACATTTGCATAATAGCCAAAAGCTGGAAACAAACCAGATGTCCCTCAGTTGAGGAATGGATGCAGAAATTGTTGTACATTTACACAATGGAATACTACTCAGCAATTAAAAACAAGGAAATCATGAAATTTACAGGCAAATGTTGGGAAATAGATAGCATCTTGAGTGAGGTGTCCCAGAAACAAAAAGAGACGCATGTTATATACTCAGTTAGAAGTGGATATTAGAAATATAATATAGGATAAACATACTAAAATCTGTACAATTAAAGAAGCTAAGCAAAAAGGAGGATTCTGGCTAAGATGCGCAATCCCCATTCAGAAAGGCAAAGAGGATGGACATCGGAGGAGGGAGAAAACAGGGAATAGGGCAGGAGCCTACCACAGAGGGCCTCTGAAAAACTCTACCCAGCAGGGTATCAAAGCAGATGCTGAGACTCATAGCCAAACTTTGGGCAGAGTGCAGAAAATCTTATGAAGGAAGGAGGAGATAGAAAGTCCTGGAGAGGACAGGAGCTTCACAAGGAGATCAACAGAACCAAGAAATCTGGTCCCAGGGTTTTTTCTAAGACTGATACTCCAAGGACCATTCATGGAGATAACCTAGAACCCCTGCACAGATGTAGCCCATGGTAGCTCAGTCTCTAATTGGTTCCCTAGTAATGGGAACAGGAACTGTCTCTGACATGAACTCGGTGGCTGGTGTTTTGATCACCTCCCTCTGAGAGGGGAGCAGCCTTACCAGGCCACAGAGGAGGACAATTCAGCCTGTCCTGATGAGACCTGATAGGCTAAAATCAGAGGGAAGGGGAGGAGGATCTCCCCTATCAGTATAATTGGGGAGGCTTATGGGAGGAGATGTGGGAGGGAGTCAATTTGACCCTTCTTCTCCAAAGCTACTTAGTACAGGTGACCTGAGATCTTCTGAATTGAGGGGAATGGGAATAGCTTCCCCATTTTGGCCAGGAAACCACTGATAGAGCAGCCAGTAACCATATTGTTTATTTCAGATTGTCAGTTTTCACATTAATATTTTATAAACTAAATATTAGAAGTATAATTAATGCTTGCCCTGCCTAGCTCCTCACAACTGTTAATAATCCATTGACATCCTTGTGCCAATATTCACGGTTTTTCTCCTGTGTACTGGGGATGGAGGAGAAGGCTTCCTGTACACAAGGCATGTGTTCTAACACTGAGCTACTTCACGGTCACTGAGATAGTATTTTAACACTCACTGTCCAAAAGATTAAATTGCTTTCCCTGAATTTTTTTTATTCTTTATTAATTACACTTTATTCACTTTGTATCCCCCCTGTTGTTCCCTCCCTCCTCCCTTCCCAATCCCTCCCTTCCTCCCCCCTCTGCATGCAAGCCTCTCCCCAAGCCCACTGATAGGGGAGGTCTTCTTTTCCTTCCTTCTGATCCTAGTCAATTAGGTCTCATCAGGAGTGGCTTCATTGTCTTCTTTACAAGGAGAGCAACAGAACCAAAAAATCTGAGCACAGGGATTTTTCCTGAGACTCATACTCCAACCAAGGACCATGCATAGAGATAACCTAAGACCCCTGCACAGATGTAGCCCATAGCAGTTCAGTATCCAAGTGGGTTCCATTGTAATAGGAACAGGGACTGTCTCTGACATGAACTGATTGGCCTGCTCTTTAATCACCTTCTCGGGGGGGGGGGGGGCAGTACAGCATTACCAGGCCACAGAATTTTTTTTTTTAACTCACTGTTTCTCTTACCTTTCTTTTTCAGGGTTCCAAAGCTCCTCACAATCTCATGAACAACAGCTGCTCCGCTCTGAGGGTCAATGCCACCAAACACCCAGGCATCTCGGTGACCACCAAGAATGACATATCTGTCTACAAATCAACAGAGCAAGGGTCGCAACAAAGCAAACTGAAAATGGCTCAATCGCATTCACAGCTCAGAGAGAAATACCCAGGTTCCTCAGGCTTGTGAACATTGGCCATTTGTTCCGATTTCAGTACTTGTTTCATCTATGTGATTCAAAAATTAAATTGGTGCATTATTGAAGGTATAAGCATACAGATAACAGGAACGTATGAAATTGTGTTTATCTGCCTACCTCCTCACAGTTCTGTAACACCTGTTATCTTTTTGTGCCTATCATGTTCAGAGAGAACACAACTCTTCACTTCCTAGTCCTATTCCACATCTCATCAAACAAATGTTCTTTTTGACCATTTCTATCTACTATTGGAGGAGGAAAATGCTTGAGTTGAAAGTTTGGGGGTAATCTTTTCACATTTGAGTAGACAATTACCACCTTTACGTGTCAAGCTCTTCTTTTTTTATTTTTTTATTTTTTATTAATTACCTTTATTCATTTTGTATCCCCCCATAAGCCCCTCCCTCCTCCCCTCCTGATCCCACCCTCCCTCCCGCTTGAAAGCATGATCTCCTCGAATCATGATCTCCTTGTCCCTGGTTTATGTGTATTTCAACCCTCCCCCACTTCCCAATGCTCATCACAGTCCCTGAAAAAAATAATCATGTAGCAAGATTCAGTAAGTCGCTGTGTGTGTGTGTGTGTGTGTGTGTGTGTGTGTACCCATATGTGTGTGTAGTTCATTACTTACAAGCCTTAATTTTATAATACTGTTGGTTCTGAAATAAGAGATCATCTTTATTCTTGGTATGGTGCAGCACATAACAGTAATTTCAGCGTTTGGGAGGAAATAATGTAAAACTGGGTTTAATTACATGAGAACATGTCTCAGAAAAACAAACAAGCAATATACGCTTGTAAGAAATATATGTAATTTAATTGTACCATTTGTGTTAAAAAATAATATCAAGTACATTCTCACAAATCAAGACCTAAATTCTAAAGCTTTAACAGATATAATTAGATATGTATAGTTTTCCATCTGAGTCTCACAATGTAACACAAACCACACTTAAGGAAGGTCCCAGGCCCAGGAGTAGATGGTTAACCAGAAAATAAAACAGTGGTACTTATGGAGATTGCTTCATCTCATGTTGCTTTGTTTTGGCATTTTAAGTTTATGTATTATGCTTTATGTTTTGTGTTTTTATGGGTTGTGTGTATCTACTACTCATGGTTATTTTTTCTTCTGTTTATTTTGTGGTTTTTGGTTTTTTGTTTTTTTTTTTAACATGGTCATCTCAATAAATTTGTATGTTTTATATGTAGCTTCAGGAACCACTTCTATAATTACATTTGGAAAAATGTGACTTATGCTATTTTATTACAAACAAAATAAAAGAAATAGCACATTAACCATAACACCAACATTAACACAACACATTATTTGGAATCACAGTAGATAAACTAGAACATATATTTCATTGTTAAGGGTTACAATATTTCTGTAAAAAAATATTTCAGTTGTGTAGAGCACACCACAGAGGATGGTTTATGAATATATGAGACCCTTAGTCACCTGCTTGATTATGCTTCTCTAATGACTTTATGTTCAGATCAGTATAGATTTTCCACATTGCCATTAGAAATCACATTCCACTGTTGTTTTCTATAGAAACCTCTTATTAACTCCTTTTTATTTCTACTTGCTACAACTATTGTGCCTCTGCTCGCTTCAGTTTGGTGGTGTGTTTTCTATTCTTTTATAACAATTTGCTCTTTCACAGTTACTTTACACACACTTATCTGATCTATTTGCAGTGCTTTTAGAAGGGAAGCTAACATGACACAGAGCAGATGAAAGGTATTTGGAAGTTATTCCTCCATGCATGGAATCAGAGATGGAAGACCAATGGAGACAGTTTAACATTCTCATTCAAGAAATAGATGAATAACAAGAAAACAGTGCTTTATAGCCACCATTAGCTATGTCAAAAAAAGAGCTGTTCAATCATGAATGGTTATCTGGGCCCAGGGGTCTTTTCTGAGACTGATTCTCTAACCAAGGACCATTCATGGATATAATCTAGAACTCCTGCTCAGTTGTAGCCCATGGCAGCTCAGTCTCCAAGTGGGTCACCTAGTGTATGACCGAGGGACTGTCTCTGACATGAACTCAGTGGTTCTTTGACCGCCTCTCCTGGATGAGGGAGCAGCCTTGGCAGGCCACAGAGGAGGACAATGCAGTCAGTTCTGATGAGACTTGATAGGCTAGGGTGAGATGGAAGGGGAGGAGGACCTCCCCTAACCGTGGACTTGGAGAGGGATATAGGAGGAGATAAGGGAGGGAGGGTGGGATGGGGGGGGGAGGATGGAGGGGGCTACAACTGGGATACAAAGTGAATAAATTATAATTAATATAAAAAATAAAAATTTAATAAAAAATAAAAACAAGGAAATCATGAAATTTGCAGGCAAATGGATAGCTCTAGAAAAGATCATCCTGAGTGAGGCATCTGAGAAGCAGAAAGACACATACAGTATGTACTCATTTATAAGTATATATTAGCCATATAATATAGGATAAACATACCAAAATCTATAGTCCTAAAGAAGCTGAAATTCCCTTTTTATCTGCGCTGCTACCTGAAAGTGCAGCCCACAGTGGGATGGTCTTTCACAACCAAGGCAATCAGGACACGTCTTCAGGTGCGGCTCCTCGTTGGGAGATTCTAATATGTGGCAAGCTGACATTAAAACCAACCACAATGACTACTCCTGCTTATTTTGTTTTTATGATTTTATTTTATTTTGTTTGTTTGATAGCCTGTTATTATTTTTTTTTCTAAAGAGAGAAAGAAAGCATGGAGATGTATGAGTAGAAAGGTAGGGAGGATATGTAGGAAATAAGGGATGGGAAAAAAAGTGATTATTTTTTCAGAAAGAAAGGAAAAAAGGAACAAAATGAGAAGGATGACAAAGAAAAAAGAAAGAAAGAGAGAGAAAGAAAGAATAAAAGCATCTTATCACTCTCACCTGTCCCCATAATTTCATGTTTCTCTTCTTGCAAAACATGTGATGATACACTATGCCAAGAATATTTTATTGTGTGTTTAAGTGTGCTTTACTGGGGCAACAATGTTTGTTTCTGATTCACCCTGACCCGAAGTAACAGTGGTACATAGTATTGGATTCACCAATATTTGCAGAACAGATGCTATGCTTACCTGGCTCCACAGCTCCTTTGAGGCTACCAATCACATTATAGATTCTTGTCACTTTACTGTAGGTGTGGATGTGCAGCTTGACTTTTCTAATTCAAATTTTAAAAAAAAGTCTTTAAGAATACCTGTTAACAGATTTAAACCCCCATTTCTTTTCTTTTTTAATTAATTTTTTATTATCTACAGTTTATTCATTTTGTGTCCCAGATGTGGCCCCCTCTCTTGTCTCCTCCCCATCTCACCCTCCCTCCCTCATCTCATCCTATGTCCCTCCCCAAGTCCACTGACAGGGGAGGTCCTTCACCCCCTCCCTCTGACCCTAGCCTATCAGGTCTCATCAGGACTGGTATTGGATAAACATACTAAAATATGTACACCTAAAGAAGCTAAGCAAGAAGGAGGACCCTGGGTAAGATGATCAATCCTCACTCAGAAAGGCAAACTGGACAGACATTGGAAGCGGGAGAAAACAGGGAACAGGACAGCAGCCTACCACAGAGGGCTTCTGAAAGACTCTACCCAGCAGGGTATCAAAGCAAAAGCAGAGACTGATAGCCAAACTTTGGGCAGAGTTCAGGGACTCTTATGAAAGAAGGGGGAGATGAAAGACCTGGAGGGGACAGGAGCTCCACAAGGAGAGCGAGAGAACCAAAAAATCTGGGCATGGGGAGCTTTACATGTCTTTAATCTCCTGTAATTGTCTTTTTTAAAGCCTTTTGATGATGATGATGATGATGGTGATGATGATGATGATGATGATGATGATGATGATGATGATGATGATGGTGATGATGATGATTTACAATGTACTCACTTTGTATCCCAGTTGTTGATCCTTCCTCATCTCCTCTTGGTCCCACCTTCCCTCCTTCTTCCTCTCTTTTCTCTTTTCCCTAGTCCACTGAAAAAGAGAAGTCCTCCTCCCCTACTGTCTCACCCTAGCCTATCATGTCCCATTAGGATTGCCAGGATCCTCCTCCTCTGTGGGCTGCATAGGTCACCCCCTATGCAGAGACGTGAAGGACCAGGCAACATAGTACATGTCAGAGACTGTCTATTTTCTTTTTGCTAGGGAACCCACATGGAGACTGAGATGTCTACGAACTACATCTGAGCAACAGGGACTCTAGGTCCACTCTATGTATAGTCTTTGATTGATGCATCAGTCTCTGCAGTCCCCCGTGGACCATACTTTTTTGGTCTCCTTGTGTGGCTTCTGTCCTTTCCAGTTCCTTTTATATTCCCATTCTTTGATAAGACTCCCTGTGCTCTGTCCAAAGTTTGGCTGTGAATCTCTGCATTTGCTTTGATCGCTTGTTGATTGGAACCTTTTAGAAGACATATGTTGTAGGCTCCAGTCCAGAAATTAAAGAAGCTATCAGAAGATGGCAAGATCTCCCATGTTCATGGATTGGTAGGATTAACATAGTAAAAAAAATGGTCATCCTACCAAAAGCAAACTACAGATTCAATGCAATTCTCATCAAAATACCACACAATTCTTTATAGACCTTGGAAGAACAATTCTCAACTTCATATGGGAAAACAACAACAACAACAACAAAAAAAAACCAAACAAACAAACAAACAAACAAAAAAACAGAATACTAAAACCATCCTGTACTATAAAAGAACTTTTGGAGGCATCTCTATTCCTGATCTCAAGTTGTACTACAGAGCAACAGTAAAAAAAAAAAAAAAAAAAAAAAAAAAAAAGTCATGAGACAGAAATAAACCCACACTCCTAGGACACCTGATTTTTAAAGTCTTTTGTGTAAAAGGATTATAATAACAGCTTAACTGTGTTGAAAAGTTTCCAGCAAAGCCAGGTCCCACGTTGTAAGGCACATTGAGACCTCCCTTCCAGCTGCTGTCAGGTGGGGCTAATCCACCCATGTGTCTGTTGAACATTAAAAAAAATTATTAGTTGCATAACGTTTGATAAGGTAAATTAAGATATCAAGAAATCTACTGTCTAAGACATTTGTCTCATTATAGCCTTTATGAGTGAACAACAGATTAAATTGCTTTGCATGCAATACCCATTGAGCTTTCCTGCCACTCCTGTAAGGCAGTGTCCCCTATCAATTCTGCTTTGCGTATGAGGAACATAAGGATAAGAATGAATGTGTAACAATGGCCAAAGTCATGGTTGTAAGAGATACAGCTAATATACAAGAACCCAACTGTGTTACTACTGGGCAATGTGAAATCATGTGTTAAAACTCTCTCTACCACATATGCTAACAGAAAAATCTGAAGTCTGTTTGCAATCTTTTACTATGATATTTCTCCTACTTATAGAATACTACATATACATATATATATTCATAATTCATGAAGACACACATATTAGGAAGAAACAAAGAACAATAAACCCACATTTTTTTAAAATTACAAGCAGGGGTCCAAATTTTTATGTCATTAATTTAGAAAACAAAACATTTAGACAGATCAAAGGATTTTGGTGAACAGCTACCACATAGCTCTAAAGATCTGAGAAGATGATATTGCAAGATTTCAAATGTCATTCTTTTTTTCTTCTTCAGACAGATTTTACTGTTACTCATATTAACCTCATCTAGAAAAGGTAAATATGTGTACATATTTACATTTTTATCGTCTCTGTCATCTCCCTGTTTTCGTAGTCATAGTGACTGCTATTTTAAGTCAGTTTGTTAGTACATATAAGGGAAGACAGTGATCTCCAGGAAGCAGCTCTGACTCCCAAGCCCTGTTCTCCATCTCACCACCTTTAACTCGGCTGTTTTTCCTTACTTTCATGTTTCTAAAAATGTAAGCATTACTCTTTAGCCTCATAGCTAAATTGCTCATCTTATCAAATGGCATTTTTATCTTCATATCATTTGCCTGACTGCTACCAGAGAATGGACTGACTTTATTCAGATATAAAAATTAAATGGACTGTTACTAAGCAGGTGGATGAATGTAGTTATAGAAAAAATTAAAACTTACAGTTAAATATTAGTAATTTCTTCCTTAACCATTAACTAAATTTCGTTAAGGCCCTGCTTTAAGAACAAAAGAGAATTCGGGAGTCTGACCAAAGAACATTTGTGCTTGCTAAAACGTTACTCTCCTTTTTACATGCAGTTTTACTTACTCACTGCCTGAAAAAATAATGCTCTTACTGGAAATGGCACAAAGTTGCTAAAATATGAAATGTGGAGTTGAAAATGTCCATCTGTTTTTTTTTTTAATGATTTTCTCACAGTGTGCACACACTGAGCTTTGTACACTTGCAGGCTCCACAGTTCTCTGTTTTGTTTTGTTTGTTTCTGTACATAGGGGCTTGTCCACTCCTTATATATTTTAGGAAATGTTAATTGTTCAACTTCGCTTATAATTATCTCCCTATTCAATAGTAAAATGAGTCTCTGGGTGATTTTATTTTCACTTGGGAAAATGTCCATGATTATTAAAATAAATGACAGCTTATGCTAGCAAGGATGTGAGGTAAAAGGAACACTCATCCATTGCAGGTGGGAGTGAAACCTTGTACACACAGTATGGAAATCAGTGTGGTGGTTCCTAGGGTTACTGGGAATATATCTACTTCATATTTAACAATATCATTCCTGGGAATAAACCCAGAGGACTCAATGTTCTACTACAGAAACAATTATTCAAACATGTCAATGGCTGCGCTTTTCTTAACAGAGACAAACTAGAAACATGCTAGATGTGCATTGATAGATGAATGAATAAAGAAAATGTGGTACATTTGCACAATGGTATAATATTTTGCTCCTAAAAAGGAAATCATGAAATTTTCAGGTAAAAAAAAAAAGTACAACTAAGAGAATCATCCTGAGTGAGGTAACAAAGAACCAAATATATATATATATATATATATATATATATATATATATATATATAT